AATAATTGTGGGGACATAGGTGAGCTACATTCTATATTACGATCCGCAGCTAACAGAGTCTCCTTCAGGGTTATTATATTTTTTCTGTCTAATTTGTATTCTAGACAGATGTTGTATTTTATTTTTAATTTTCTTGTAAATACTCGTGCACTTGTGACACCGGGTTTTGAGAATGGTTGTGGATTGTTTAAAAATTTAGTTGTTAAAAATATTTATCATTTACTCTATGAGTTTTATCTTTATTATTTCATTGAAGAAATTTTGAATTCAAAAATACTAAAATGGGTAATTAAGTGAAGTTTGTACTGTTGGCTTGCCTGACAGCGGTGTCAGGCGCCATCACGACCTTAATGGATTATGGGTCATGACAAATATAATCTTGAAAGCTTATTCTTGTTTAATATTTAGCTTTGATTGTACTTTCACATACACTTGTATAGCATTTTGATTCTTAATAATATATTAACCTTTTTACTTTGTGTTCTAATGCTCTTTTTATGGAATAAATTTATGTACCCTAAGATTGTTTTTTAACTTAAATAAGAATTTTATTTATGTGATGAATTTAAAAAAATAATTGAATTGGATTCTCTTGCTAAATAATTAATTAAAAGATTAAATTATTTAACTTTAACATAAAAATAATTTATTTTATGTTAATTTATATCTTAATATTAGTTCATCTCTTGTTTTGAATATTTAGTCTTAATTATAATTTTATCCACCATAAATTTTATTTTCAAAGAGTAAAAGATTGATATGACATTTCACTTTTAGATCTTTATGTCTGTAGAATCATTAGTGGTATTGACTCTTACCAACCATTTTTTTCTCTCTTTCTCACACATTTATATTCTTAAATAATTTCTTAGTTGTAGTTTAATAATTGGGTATTTTTAAATATTACACGAAACATTGATAAGAAAATATTATTTGAGTAGAAAAATAGTTCAAATATAATATAAAAATATATTATCATTGGCGTATCTTTTTTTCTCAATGTCAACTCTTTATGCGGTCCATTTAATTTTTATTTTTTTTGTGTTGGACATTATGGAGTGGTAACGTATTGCCAATACGGAGGATTTTGATAAAATTGATTTTATTAAACCTTCCTACATATTTTTAATAAGAATTTAATAAACAAATATTATTAATTTTAAAATATTAAATATTAAAAATTAGCATAGAAGGTATTGTAGTCCAAAAAATAAGTTATTGCAGTTATGCTCTTTCCCTATAAGTTCTCCCGTTTAATATTTTTGGGCTATTCTGGTATATTAATATTATATTTATACTTTTATAATAATATAGGCTCTCCTTTTTCTAAATGGATTTGGACAATATAATGCATTCTCAAATTAAATTAGTAATAGGATATTATAATATATTTTTAAATTAAATTAGTAATAGGAATTTTTAAGAAGTATATCCTAAAAGTAATAAGATTACATGACTAAATATATTTACTTGTTCAATTTTATGTGAATTAGACAGCCGGAAAGTAATTATACTAATAGGATTCCTAAAGGTAATCATGTAGGATTTCTAACGTGTAGTATTATGTTCTAAAACTAATAGGATTATAAGACTAATATCTAGAATTCCGGTTATGTCCTTTTATTATAAGTTATTATGCTTAATATTATAAGGTTATTTTTGTAAACCGACATTGTATTCATAATTTTATAATAATATAGATAATTATATTATAAAATAGATATAGATAGATAGATATAGATAGATAGATGTCACGGCCCAAAATCCTAATCTGTCATGATGGCGCCTATCTCAGTACTAGGCAAGCCGACAACATCAATAACCCACGATTTTCTTTAAATTTAAAAACGTAACGTTTAATACAATACAAAAGATATAGCAATTTCCAATACAACACTCCCAAAACCTGGTGTCACTAAGTACATGAGTATCTAATATGAGTACAAGTTTGGAAAATACGGTCTATAATAGTCTGAGACCAAATACAGTAAACAAGGAGATAGAGAAGGAGAGACAAGGTCTGCGGAACACGGCAGCTACCTCAAAATCTCCTGAAAATCAACGGTGCGAAATGATCAACACCCGTTATGTTCAGGAATACCTGGATCTGCACACAAAATGCAGGGTGTAGTATGAGTACAACCAACTCAGCAAGTAACAATAATAACTAAGGAACTGAAGATAATGACGAGCTACACAGTCATAGTTCACCTTTAGTAGTTCCAGCAAAGAATAGACATGCTTTCAAATCCGGCAGTTTAAGTCAAATCAATTTTATACAGTTCAATTTCAAGTAATCCGGATATAAATTCTTTCAGAGATTTCACAACAATGACAGATAGTAACCAAGTGCAACAACAAATGCAAAGCAAGTACAGCCTCTCAGGCAATAGTCACTCAGCTCATCACAACAGCTCAACCACTCGGCTCTCAGCCCTCAGCACTTACACTCAATGGGTACCCGCGCTTACCGGGGGTGTGTACAGACTCCGGAGGGGCTCCTACAGCCCAAGCGCCATAATCCGTACGGACAACTCACATGCTATAATATCCTGCACGGACAACTCACGTGCCATAATATCCTTACCTTACCGACAGGCCCTCGGCCTTACTCAGTCCTCAACCTCTCAAGTTTCTCGGGCTCTCAGGAATCACAAAGATCAGCCCAAACAAAGATAACATAGTATATCAATAAATATTCAGAAAGAGTGAGGTATAATACGCAAGAAAAATCATGACTGAGTACAAGACAGCAATTAGCAAATAATTCAACAAGTACGTGACCGCCACGGGTCTCAACAGAACTATAACATAGCCTAAGCATGATTTCTAATATGATTTATAGTCAAATTTCTTCAATACATAGAGATCATATAGCTAACAATAAATTATTCAACTTTACAGCTTTCCGGGACGAACCAAGTCACAATTCCCTCGGTGCACGCCCACATGCCCGTCACCTAGCATGTGCGCCACCTCCAAGATAATCACATGATACCAAAATTCGGGGTTTCATACCCTCGGGACCAGATTTATAATTGTTACTTACCTCAACCCGTATAATTCTTTATTTCGCTATGCCCTTTTCACGAGAATTGGTCTCCGAAAGCCTCGTATCTAGCCACAATTAATTTGATTTAGTCAATACCAATTATTGTAATTAATTCCATAAGGAAATACTAATTTTTTCAATAAAATTTGAAATTAACTCAAAAATCGTCCGTAGGGCCCACATCTCGGAACCCGACAAAAGTTACAGAATATGAACGCCCATCCAACCACGAGTCCAACCATACAAATTTCACCAAAATCCGACACCAACTCGACCCTCAAATCTTCAATTAAAGCATATAAAGATTTCTACCATTTTCAACCCAATCCTTACCCATTTAAATTTAACCATCTTTCCACAACCTTATTGGTATGTATACATAATACTCTTACACCCAAGAATTATACTATAAATCACCCATTTTTACTCCAAACCCGAAATTGAAGGATTGAGGAAAGAAATTCTTACCTCTTTGAAGCCCTAGCAAGATCCTTGTGAAATCTTCAAACCCTGAACAAGAATTGATGGATAAATGACTAAGTCTTCACTTTCTCTCTCTAAAATACTCTCACCTCTCTCTAAAATATCAGATTTTGGCTCAAAAATTAGAAAGAATGAAAGCTCCGACGCAGTTATGCGATCGCATATGCAATCGCATAACAGGTATGCGGTCCGCATACCGGCCGCATAATTTGGCCTCCAAAGCTGGGCGTTACTGACCCGGTCTGCGGTCATTATGCGGTCCGCATACTTGTTCCGCGGTCACATAATGCACCGCAAAATAGGTCTGGGGTCGCATAGTGCACCGCAGATTTTTCTCAAATCTTGCCCCTCTCCTGATCCACTTTGCGACCATTATGCGGTCCGCAAAGTGATTCTGCGATCGCATAGGGTCGCAGAAATGATATTTTTCCGACAAAATTTTACTTTACACATCGGTGCATTGTTCAACCCAAATGTTTGTACCACCAAACCTTAATTTTCTTTGTACTAATTGATCTACCTCGGCACCACCAAACCTTAATTTTCTTAGCAAAATTTCTCCGGGGCCGTTACACATAAGTTAACATCCGGTCAACTTTTTCAACTTAAATTCTAAACCTTGGAACTAAGTGCTCTAAATCATTTCAAGATCTCACCGAAGCCAAACCAATTACCCCGGCAAGCCAAATAACAACTGTAATTCACAATTTGAGCAGTAAATGGGGGAACAGGATTGCAATAGTCAAAACAACCGACCGGATTGTTACAATAGATTACAAAATTATTGCATTCATTAGACAGCAAAAAGAATTTTTTTATCATAAAAAAATATGATAGCTATCGTTCATTAATTATTTTATCTTCTTTGATTTTGTAATAATACATAGTAATACACGTAAAGTAGTGTATATACAAATAAGGAAGAACAAACGATGTAGAAGCTGAAGCATCCGTACCGTCAATTCTCTTTGGCTATTCATAGCGCGAGCTTCAAAAATCAGTTTATTTTGAAAAATATTTTTCTCAAAAGTATTTTATTCAAAAGTATTTTTGATGAGAAATAGTTTGTGTTTGACTAATTAATTTAAAAAATACTTGTGAGCAACAATTACTGTTTGGCCAAGCTTTTAAAAAGTGCTTAAGTGTATTTTTCTCAAAATAACTTTGCAAAAAGTGTTTTTGGGGAGAACTTACTTTTTTATGTTTCTCCAAAACTGTTTTTGTTTCTACTCAAAAGTACTTTTTCTTCTTCTAAAACCTTGGTCAAATACTTTAACTTTAAAAAAAATACTATTTTAGAAAGAAAAAAAAATGCTTTTGACTTTTGAAAAATTTGGCCAAACAGATTATCAGAGCATTTGCTAGAACAAAATTAACTAAAAAGGATCATCAAAAACGCAAAAGCTACAATGAAAAGTAAAGGTTCTTAATTACTAGAGAGGTTTAATCATTAAAAATTGTTAAATCAATCAAAACCAAACAAATTCTAAAAACAAAGCATCAAGAACATAGAACTTTGAAAAATAACTTAGACAGTTTTAATTCTAAACAAGAAAAGAAGAAGCACTGTTGTAAAATCAATCAAAGGCCCAAGCATTTTCTTTACGGATTTGCTCTTCTTCCGCAGGTGTAAAATAATTCTTGATGTTAAATGCTTTACGTATTTCCTCTGGCGTTTTCCCTTTGATCCTATCAGCAGTTTCTTGACACAATATATCCAATAGCTCCTTATCATTAAGATAATTAGCTGCTAAAATTAGATCATACAACTCCGAGTAATTCAGCACCTTCACAAAATTCTTGTCAAAATCCTTCAACTCGTCCTCTGAGACGCCTTCCTCGGAGTGTTTTTGCCAGTATTCGATCACTTTGGCCATTGTTTTGCTATCGACATTAGGCAAAGGAATGGTGTTTGAAGCGCAGTCATCTTCCACCATATTTTTGATGGCTTCTGACCTCACCGCCACTGCCTCGTCGAGTTCGAATTCCTCGCCGTCGATTGTCTTTAGGACCAAGAGCTTTTTGGAAGACATGGTGAAGGTAAATAATCTCTAAAAGGAGTGTTTTAATGAGATTAGAGAGAAGAAATATGAGAGAACTTTGAATGATTTCAATGCATGAGAATTGAAGGGCTTGGTGTGTTTTTATAGAGTATATGAGGGTTTTCACTTTCCTGGTTGAAGTAGGAAATGAAAACGGGAAAAGGAATAAAATATGGGAAACTTTTCCTATGCAGTTGGGAATGGAACGGGAATTTACTAAACCAAGATAGATTTGAAAAAAAAGGGCAAGTGTCTAATTTTCCATTTTTGACGAAAATAATGACAAGAAGAAGGGAAATTAAATTCTAGAGCTTATCTTTTTAATTTCCTTTACGCTTATAATTTCTTTTTTTTGTGACAAGGAAATTAGCAAATTAGGGCTTATTATTCATATTTTAGGATTTAATATTGACATATAACTTAAATTAATTAATCAAAATTAGCAACAACAAAAAAACAGTATTGACAATGTCACGACCCAAAATCCCAACTTGTCGTGATGGCGCCTATCTCGATACTAGGCAAGCCGATAATCTCGATAAACCACAAATTTTCTTAAGTTTGAAAACATATAATTTAATACAATACAAAATTCCACAATTACTGACACGATACTTCTCAAAACCTGGTGTCACTAAGTACATGAACATCTAATATGAATACAAGTCTGGAAAATACGGTCTATAATAGTCTGAGACCAAATACAGTAAACAAGGAGATAGAGAAGGAGAGACAAGGTCTGCGGAACACGGCAGCTACCTCAGAATCTCCTGAAGATCAACTGCGCGAAATGATCAACACCCGCTATGTCCGGGAATACCTGGATCTGCACATAACTGAACTGCCAATTCTGAACTGCCTCTATTTTCTTCGGATCCACCTTAATTCCTTCACTAGACACTAAATGTCCTAAGAATGCCACCGAACTAAGTCAGAACTCACACTTAGAGAATTTGGCATAAAGTTTCTCCTCCCTCAACCTCTGTAATACAACACCCAAGTGTTGTTCATGCTCCTCCTGGCTACGTGAGTATACCAGAATATCATCAATAAATACCACTACAAATAAATCAAGATATAGCTAGAATACACTATTCATTAAATGCATAAATGCTGCTGGGGCATTGGTTAGCCCAAAAGACATCACAAGAAATTCGTAGTGGCCATAACGCGTTCTGAATGTCGTCTTCAGCATATCCGAATCCCGAATCTTCAACTGGTGATACCCAGATCTTAAATCAATTTTGGAGAACACCCTCGCTCTCTGAAGCTGGTCAAATAAATCATCAATATGTGGCAAGGGATATTTGTTTTTCATTGTAACGTTGTTCAACTGCCTATAATCGATACACATCCGCATAGTACCATCTTTCTTTTTCACAAACAAAATCGGTGCACCCCAAGGTGACACACTGGGCCTAATAAACCCCTTTTCAAGGAGTTCCTGAAGTTTCTCTTTCAATTCTTTTAACTCAGCTGGTGCCATAAGATACAAAGGAATAGAAATGGGCTGAGTACCCTGCACCAAGTCAATACCAAAATCAATATCCCTGTCGGGTGGCATACCCGATAGGTCTGCAGGAAATACATCCAAAAAGTCCCGCACGACCGGTACTAAATCAATAATAGGAGTATCAGCATCAACATCTCTCACAAAGGCCAAATATGACAAATATCCCTTTCCAACCATACGTTGGGCCTTCAAATAAGAAATTACCCTGCTAGGAACAAAATCTAGAGAACCTCTCCATTCAACCTTTGGCAACCCCGGCATCATCAACGTCATGATTTTTGCGTGACAGTCCAGAATAGCATGACATGGAGATAACCAATCCATTCCTAGGATTACATCGAAATCAACCATACCGAGTAATAAGAGATCAACTCTAGTCTCCAGTTCCCCAATAGTTACCACACACGACCGATACACACGATCCACAGTAATAATATCGCCCACTGGAGTAGATACACAAACAGGTAAAACTAAGGACTCACAGGGCATATCCAAATAATGAGCAAAATACGATGATACATATGAATAAGTGGAACCAGGGTCAAATAATATAAAAGCCTCCTTGTGTCACACTGAAACAATACCTGTGATCACTGCGTCTGAGGCAACAGCATCTGGCATGGCCTCCCCCTCTTGGGCGACCCCTAGCTACCTGACCCCCACTCCGAGTTGGATGGGCGGGTGATGTAACTGCTGGTGCTAGTGTCATTGGTCGAGAACTCTGCTGTGGAGCCCCACTCAAAAGCCTAGGACAATCTCTCTTGAAATGACCCAATTCTCCGCATTCGAAACAACCCCTCTTCTGACGGAACTGATGCTCCTGATAACCTGAAGAATTACCTGTAGAAGCCTGAGCAGACGAGGCATGATGAGAACTCTGTGCTGGTAGTGTACTAAATGAAGACTGGCCTGAGTGAGCACTGTAAGAACCGTGGCTAGCTGATGCACCACGATGAGCTAGACGACCCGCGTGAGCATGTCTGTAAGAACGGCCCCTACCGCGGTAAAACTGACCCCTTGAAGGAACACCGCTTAAATCACCGGAACCACGAGGCCTCTTAGCCTCCCTCTCAACCCGCTCCTGGCTACGAACCATCTCAATCTGACGAGCAATGTCAACAACCTCATCGAAAGTAGCACCAGACACACTCTCTCTAGTCATGAGTAATCACAGCTGAAAAGTAAAGCCATCTATGAATCTCCTGATCCTTTCCTTGTCTATGGGAATCAACCAGATAGCATGACAGGCCAATTCTGAAAATCTCATCTCATACTGTGTCACGGACATATCGCCCTGACGAAGCTGCTTGAACTACCTGCGCAGTTCCTCTCTGCGGGACTGAGGCACGAATTTCTCCAAGAATAGACCGGAGAACTGCTGCCAGGTAAGGGGTGCTGCACCGACCTGCCTACACCTCTCGTGAGACTCCCACCATCTAAAGGCAGCCTTAGAAAACTGAAAAGAAATGAATGAGACCCCACTGGTCTCTAGAATACCCGCTTTCCAAAGCATCCGCTGACACTTATCCAGAAAACCCTAGGCATCCTCTAACTCAGCACCACTAAAAGGTGGAGGTCGAAGCCTCTCAAATCTCTCAAGTCTCCTCTGCTCATCATATGCCATAACAGGAACTACCGGGGCCTGAGCGGCTGCAGCCGGCTGGGCTGGTAGTGTTCCCAGTATATAAAGTTCCTGTGCTACCTGATCTGGAGTACGAGCAACATGGGTATGAGTACCTCCCCCGGCCTGAGAAGTGGAAGGTGCGGCCTGAGCCGAAACCACCTGAGCAAGACCAGTGCAGGCTACCAATATCTGGGCTAAAGTCTCCTGAAAGCCTGGAATCTCAATGGGCACAGCAGGTGCTTGAGTTGATCCTGTCGGCTTAGCTATATTCGAAATCTGCACCTGAGCTGGAGCAACTGGTGGTACTACAGGTGCTGGTCCAACTCTGGTACGAGCTACACCTCGACCTCTACCACGACCCCGGCCTCTACCACGGCCCCGGCCTCTCGCGGCCCTAATTGGTGGCTGACCATCCGATCTGGTAGTACGTGTCCTCACCATCTGTAAGAGAATAGAATAGCAGAAATTTAGTTTCCTGAATTAACAAATTCGCACGACAGAATACAAGAAAGTGAAATTTTTCTAAGGGTTCTACAGCCTCTCGAAGATAAGTACAGACGTCTCCGTATCGATCCGCAAGACGTTACTAAACCTGCTCATGACTCGTGAGACCTATGTAACCTAGGCTCTGATACCAACTTGTCATGACCCAAAATCCCAACCTGTCATGATGGCGTCTATCTCGATACCAGGCAAGTCGATAATCTCGATAAACCATAAATTTTCTTAAGTTTGAAAACATATAATTTAATACAAAATAAAATTCCACAATTACTGACGCCAAAACTTCCCAAAACCTGGTGTCACTAATTACATGAACATCTAATATGAATACAAGTCTGGAAAATACGGTCTATAATAGTCTGAGACCAAATACAGTAAACAAGGAGATAGAGAAGGAGAGACAAGGTCTACGGAACACGGCAGCTACTTCAGAATCTCTTGAAGATCAACTGCGCGAAATGATCAACACACGCTATGTCCGGGAACACATGGATCTGCACACGAAGTGTAGGGCGTAGTATGAGTACAACCAACTCAGCAAGTAACAATAATAACTAAGAAACTGAAGATAATGACGAGCTACACAGTTATAGTTTACTTTCAGTAATTCCAGCAAAGAATAGACATGCTTTTAAATCCGGCAGTTTAAGTCAAATCAATTTTATACAGTTCAATTTTATGTAATCCGGATATAAAATCTTTCAGAGATTTCACAATTATGACAGTTAGCAACTAAGTGCAACAACAAATGCGAAGCAAGTACAACCTCTCAGGCAACAATCACTCAACTCATCACCATAACTCAACTACTCGGCTCTCAGCCCTCAGCACTCACACTCAATAGGTACCCACGTTCACTGGGGGTGTACAGACTTCGGAGGGGCTCCTACAGCCCAAGCGCCATAATCTGCACGGACAACTCATGTATTGCACGGACAACTCACGTGCTATAATATCCTGCACAGACAACTCACGTGCCATAATATCCTTACCTCACCAACAAGCCCTCGGCCTTACTCAGTCCTCAACCTCTCTAGTCTCTCGGGCTCTCGAAAATCACAAAGATCAGCCCAAACAAAGATAACATAGTAAATCAACAAATATCAAGAAAGACTGAGGTATGATGCACAAGTAAAATCATGACTGAGTACAAGACATTAATTAGCAAATAATTCAACAAGTACGCGACCTCTGTGGGGTCCCAATAGTACTATCACATAGCCTAAGCATGATTTATAACATGATTTACAGTCAAATTTCTTCAACACATAGAGAGCATATAGCTAACAATAAATTATTCAACTATACAGTTTTCCACGGGACGGACCAAGTCCCAATTCCCTCGGTACACGCCCACACGCCCGTCACCTAGCATGTGCGTCACCTCAAAAATAATCACATGATACAAAATCCAGGGTTTCATACCCTCAGGACCAGATTTATAACTGTTACTTACCTCAAAACGTG